CTTTTAGCTTTGAAGTGATTAATTTAAGAAGAAGCTGTCATTTGAAAACACTCGTTTTAGCTTTTTTTTAAGCCAAAAGCTGAAAAACGCTTTTTTTAAGTAGGGGTGGACTCGGGCCGGGCGGCCCGAACCGGAACCGGCCCGGCCCGGTCACTGTTTGAACCGGCCCGGCGACCCGGCCCATGGGCGGTTCGGTTCGACCCGGCCCGGTGGCTACCGGTTCCGGGCCTTCATTTTGGTGAACCGGCCCGGTAGGTTCGGGCTCGGTCTGGGCCGTTTTTTTTTTTTTTTTTTTTTTTTTTTTTTTTTAAGTTTTTGGGTTGAATTGGGTATTTTGGTCCATTTGAGGTGGTTTGGGGTTGAGGGGGAGGGTAGGGGGTTGATTAGGAAAACCCAAAAAAAATATAGAACTAAACCGGGCCCGGCCCGAACCGGACCCGGGGGTTACCCGGGCCGGTTCCGGGCCTCCCCTACCTCGAATCGAGGCCCGGCCGGTTCAAGGCCCGAACCGGGCTCGGCCCGAACCGAGTCCACCCTTATTTTTAAGCAAGCGCAAACCACTCCTTTAGACTCTTAGCTGTCCTATGGAAGAAAATAGCATAGGTTGTAACTGCAACTGGGAAAGAAGACTACTTAGCAGAGGCTGTGTTAATGGGAAAAGCCTCCAAGTGACACCGTTTTGATTGAAATCAAGGACCTGGTCTACGATACAAGGCACTACCAGCCAACAAACATACATGTAATACTATACTTGTCTATAAATAGCTTTGAAGATATGTCCAGCTTTTGTTATACATCGATGGTAGATGTTTGCATGTATACAGTATACATCCAATAACATTTTTAATTTGGTAACCCAAAAAAGAAACAATTTTCTCTCCGTAATAGAATTCAGACCTCCCCTGGAAGGTCATTGGATTTGGAAGCTTATCTAGCTGTAAACTTCTGGACTCACCAAAATTTATTATTCGTACTAAAATGGTATGGACACGAGAAAATATATGGAGCAAACAAGAATGCTCACTGAGGAGCACGTTGCAGTGATGAATGATTAAGATTTATTGATCTAACACATTTAGCGAATCTCGATCATTCATCACGTCAGTGTGCTCCTTAGTGAGCATGCTAGCATACTCCATGTAATTTCTTAGAAAATCCACCTCCTAACAAATAACATTAACATTATCCTCCCATTTTCAAACTTACATATGATTAGACTCCTTTCTTTAACACGACGTGTAAGATTAACCAAGTAAACACGATACATATGCGAAATGGATTTAAGAGCATACTTATATAGTAACTAATGTACTCCCTTTGTCCCAGTTTGATTTCAAACACTATTAAAAAGTCAAATTGTATAGTTGTAAGCCTGAAAATGATGTACTAGTATATAGAAGAGAAATAATATCAATAACACTAGTCATTCATTAAAAGGAAAGGAGATTGAACAAATTCTGGACGTCCATAAAAGAATGTAGGATGCAAATTATGTTATGAATGGAGTATTATGTATCTGAAAACACACTCCTGTTTGATTCATCTACTCTTTAGTAGTTAATAAACAATAAGTAAATGCTACTCTCATATTCGTAATCAGTTCTCACAACTACTAACAAAAAACACTTTATCTCTCCCTCGGACATATGTGAAATTTGCATCAATTGAGATCTGATCTGATGAGATAAATAAAAATTAATCTCTCTGATCTGATGTGACAAATAAAAATTAATCTCGAATAATGTGCATTGCGCTTGAGTTTGAAAGAAAAACATTTCTTACAAATGTGCATTTTGGATTTTTCGATTCCATTTTTTTAATTTGTGTCACTCGTGCGTATGATGTAATAGGAAGTAAAATGACAGATCGATGATGATGAATGGATACGTACAATTCATTGCCTACACATAATGCGCGGGGGCATATGTTACTGTACGAGTCAAACTCATTTTCTAAAATCTGATGGCACGTCCTCCTGTTTTCATTACGTTATACCCAAAAAAGAACACACGGTAATATTATTGGGTAGACATACAGTGCCAATTCATTTAATCCAATAAGAAATTGCTCAAAGCAGAGTAAAATATGGATAAATTTCTAAAATTGAATTGTATGTATTGTATTTTCATGATATGACTTATTTGATTTTGGCTTTGTTTTTTTCTATCCGTTTCATTTTACAGTGTTTTCAGTTCAAATGAGTTCAACGTTTTGAATGTGAAACTAATACCCAAACATGCTTTCAAAACTATGCCGTGTTAATACTGCATATTAACCGGCGTGTACACAGATAATTCATTATAAACAAACTGTACACAAACAATTTGACCGGTGTTTAAAAACTGTCTGTGTGCAAAGAGCATTTTTCATATGTATTTTACGATCCGGTCAAGTTTTGAATTTTAGAATTTGAACTAAGGACCGGGATTACGGGTTCAGGACGGAAATCTAACCCGGATTGCCCAAGAATCAATAAAACTCAAACCAATTGTATACTATACATTGGGTTGCTTTAGGTGTCCCCCCTAATTTTATGAGTATGTATACCGTACATACGGTTGTACGGTGCTCACCGTACAATTGGGTATTTTATCTTATACCTAATGAGTATAACGTTAAAAAAAAACATTAATATTAAATCACTGTTTTCGTAGCACGATTGAGTATAGAAGTGTGTGATAGAGTATTATGATCTACACGTAATATATGCTACAAATAAACTTATTCATTTAACTATATTATCATTGTATTGTCATAAAAAATATTTATTGTGCTAATTTTATAATTTAATAATACTAATACTCATTTCGCTTACACTATATATACTCATTAAGTATAAACTAGATCAGAATAAACTCGTATAAACATAATTGACGACATGCACACACACTTCTTTTTTTTTTGTCTAGATATAGCAGTGATTATCAAACTCACGTTTTTACACTATTTTTTAGAGGGTTGCTGTATCGTATCTTTGAAAGAAGTATACAACTCGGTAGATCGAAATGAATTAGTACGGTTGCTCCCTCAATTAGAAGAGCCTTGAGTCCCCCTTTTTTGAACATCTTTCTAATCTATTATAGTAATGTTCTATTAAGGCCACCATTTTTGAACCTACAATCTCCTCTTTGAGAGTGTCATAGTGATGTCATCAGATCCCAAGATACTTGACCTGTCTTGAGTCCATTGACATAACATTTTGAAGAAGTTACCTTTGGATTATGATAGAAAAACAAATTAGTGAGATAACTAAAAAAAGAAAAGAAAAATAGTTGAGAAAGATATTAGATTTTGCATGTTTTAGACTTTGTCTTTTAGATAGATAAAAATGAAGAGAGGGATAAGTAGAAGTTGATACAAGTTTCATTTCTATCCTATTTTCTCCATAATTAAAGAAAAGGAATTTCAACCTATATGGGTACACGAAAATGCAGGAACGGGTACGAGGATATGACAACATAAAAAAGGGATACGAATACGAGGGCATATTTATAAATATTAAAAGTTATGAGTGTGTATTTATATATATTTAAATTATGGGGTGTGTATTTGTAAATATTAAAAACTACATTTTTTTGAAAATACTCCGTATATACTATGTACGTACATTATATTCTGACCTTTGCCCATTCATGAATTATGACATTAACTTCACTAGAGATAAATTCATTCTTTATCTCATATACATTAGTGCATCTCGAAATATAAATATAGTCAATACGCCGTTAATTTAAAATGAGAAACGAGTCAAACAACTAGTAGTTTTGAAATTAAAAGGGAAAGTACACAAAGTTTTTGGATAATGGTGATAGAAAACAATACTCTAATACAAAAACTAAAAGTGAGGAAGCGGTCCAGCCCAGCTGGTCGCTGACTCACTCTCCCTTACGGGGGGTCTCGAGTTCGAAACTCAATGGAGTGAGTTTCAACTCCGATTACTCCAGGGCTCCCCCACCCCCCCCTCCCCCAGGCGCCCCCTAGAGTATAAAAAACCCAAAACTAAAACTCCTAGCTTATACAAATTTTCATTAGAACTACTAATTTCCAGGTGATAACATTGTCTCCCAAAAAGATAGCTAGCCTCCAATTTTGGTTCATCTATGAAAATGTTGACGAACTCAAGTACTTCTATATCCACCAACATCCCACGTTTTACTTATCATCCATATATTTAGTTGTGTGCAAGATTAAAGCAAGGTAAAAGATTAGCTTTTCATTTTTTAAGAATTTTATTATGTAAATTTTGGGTGTATTTTATAAAAAAAAACAGTTGATAATCTATTTGTCAGGATACTGGTATCCAAAATTTTAAAATAATTACCAAAAATATTCAAATTTTTTAATAAATTATAGATACGGCCCAGAAAAGTACGATACATGTATTATAGATCGAATATTTGATACGAAAACGTTTCCGATATGCTGATACGGTACTCTAGTGAAGTATCAGTCCTTCATAGCCTTTAACTAAAGAAACATAGGATATCCATCCAAAAAAGAAACAAAGGATTTATATAGGAGTTAGTATTTCTTAACCCCCTCTTCGGCTCACCCTCAATTCTCCATATGCATACCAACGACAAAATCCACGATTTATACTCCCGAAAAGGTTTGTCCTATTGACTTTTTTTGGTTAATGACGAAAAACTTTGGATGATAATTTTAATTATTATATGTGTATATGTGGACTTTCCTATGAGATCACACATCATACGTAGTATCACACACACATGTGATCACAAAATTATTCCAATTATTTTAGGACGACCTAACAACGAAATTATGGAATGAAACAATATCATGTGTACCTTAAGGAAAACAATATCATCATCATCCATCCATCCATCATCCAACCCACATTAATGACCGTACCACATATACATACATATCCGACCGACATTAATCTCCACCCTCTCTTGTCTCTTCTCAGTAGTCTCCCAAACGGAAACCCTCTCATATATCAATCAAAACCGTCACTTTATTCTTTCCCCTTTAGTTCCCTCTGTATGTGTGCATTATTCTCTCTCTCTTTTCCATTCAATTCACTTTTTTATTTATACGCACATTTGATGAAATGAGGTGTTGACCGAAACCCTTCTCCTCCTCAACCAATGGATCCCTTTGCTGAAGGTGGGAGCTTGGATCCGGAGAACAACACCGGCGCCGGAAGCTCGTCAACGATGGCCGTGGCAGCAGGGTCATCCTCGTCGTCTTCCTCGAGCCGGTACGAGAATCAGAAGCGGCGGGACTGGAATACGTTCGGGCAGTACCTGCGAAACCACAGGCCGCCGCTGGCGCTGTCCCGGTGCAGTGGAGCGCACGTGCTCGAATTCCTCCGGTACTTGGACCAGTTCGGGAAGACGAAAGTCCACACGCCGATCTGCCCGTTCTACGGCCACCCGAACCCTCCGGCTCCCTGCCCTTGCCCGCTTCGACAAGCTTGGGGAAGCCTCGACGCGCTCATTGGTCGGCTCAGAGCAGCGTACGAGGAAAATGGAGGGAAGCCGGAGACCAACCCTTTCGGAGCTAGAGTTGTCAGGCTCTACCTCCGAGAGGTTCGTGATCTCCAGTCTAAAGCCAGAGGGATTAGTTACGAGAAGAAGAAACGGAAACGCCCTTCACAACCTCCTCCTCCACTAGCCCTCCCCGCTCCGCCACCGTGACCGGCGGGCCTCCAAACAAAACCTAGCTATGTACTGTACGTTTGTGTTTCCAAACCTTTATCATATTATTCTCATAATAATACTGGTAGTATGAAGTGACATTATTGGACTGATCGCGTGCACTATCATGTGATTATTATTTAGTATGTACTACGTCGGACTAGTAATGATAATTAAATAATTTTAATTAAATTGCACTTTTGGACTTTTGCGGTAAACTTTTAATTTCTTATAAAATAGTACGTACTTCGTACTTCGTATCTCACAATGACTGATTTTAAATTTGGACTGGCTTGTTTGAAATGAAGAGTAATTTGGTTGAAATGAAATGACAAATTATCTGTTAAATTTTTTTAAGGAAACCTCGTTAGGTATAGATGTCAGACCAAATAATTAAGTGAGATTGAGATGATCCTAAATTTTTTGTTTGTTTCGCTAATTGGCGGGTTAATGTTGTTATCTAAAACCAAAACACAAGATGGATGAATGAATACAATGTTTCTCACTTCATTAATTAGCTAGGTTTTAAGGTTTTTTGGGCTTGTTAAGATTAACTTCACAATCTTCACGTACGGATGCAAGCTTGCTGTAGCTGAGCTTGGAGGTTGAAACACTAGCTCTCATGCTACGTTTATTGAATTGTATGGGTATGAATGTTTGAGCTTGTGTGGAGTAGATCTTAAAGATAATTACTTACATACAATGAAGTAGATACTTTGGATGTAGAGTTACATTATATTGAAGTAGCTTTGTTTGGATATGAAACATGAAACATCATTTATTTTAACGTAAGTACATTTATTTTTTTTGGTTGCATGTACTTTCTCTTTTTCATATACTCCCTCCGGTTCACATTCTTCTTTACAGTATGACTTTACGGTTTTCAAAGAAATAAATTTCACTTTACTGTAGAGTACACTGTTTGACACTGTTTAGACACTGTTTCGCACTGTTTGAACACTGTTTGGCACTGTTTTGTGCAGATTTGTTTGTCAAATAAGGCAAATAAGGAAGTTTAAAGATAATTATGGGACGGCCCAAAAAGGAAAGTGTAAAGAAGAATGTGAACCGGAGGGAGTAGTGTCTGTGAGGTTAGATGTCAATATCCTTGACTCTGGGATGAGTTTCGAACTTTTGATCTCTTCTGATCCTTGGAAGTGTCACAGTGATTCCATCGTACCACAAGGTGATTGGCAATTCACCTATTTATTTCACAATAAGTTCTAAACTTATGTCAATAACGTTGTCATTATTCTTATTTTGGATGTCTAAAAAACTTTGTCACTTTCTCTTTTAGTCAATGAATTTGTGATTTCTATTATTTCTGTATGCTCTACACAAACTTTAACCAAATATTTTTTACTTTATTATTCCATATACCAGCCAATGTGAACCAATGGAAACACTACAATTAAGTAATTTAAATATGAACAAATGAGGAAATGATGATTTGGATTATTTAAGGCATAGGGGGTACGGTACCCTCGTTTTTTATAAGGTACTCTTTCACTCACCTTTAGAAAAACACTTATCAAATTCACGTGAGAGGGAATGATGATAGTTTTAGTCCCATACTCGATTTCTATTTGTGATAAATATCTCTCATAAAACATGTGTGATGCTAAATATTTGATTTTTTAAATCTTAAAACCTTGTTAAGATGGAGTAATTAATATTATCGTACTACATAGATAGAGGACTATTATTACAAATTTAGTGTTAATGATATCCCACCTGATCCAACGCTATTGTGATCAATGTCATAGTGACTCTACCCGCAGTGATTATTGTCCTGGTGACTCCGCCCCAAATTGACCAATGACATAGTGATTCCGCCATGCAGTGCCTTTGGTGCACAGTACTGACTCTGACGCTCAGTGACATGTCACCCCTGCATGTGTAGTCACTACACGAGCGGCCAATGACTAGCTGCCCCGACAATCCAATCACCCGCTACCCCAGTCACTGACCTTAAGCCCCCGCCAGTAACCCAACACTCAACTAGTGACCACATCTCCCCTACGTACCTTACCAATTAACACCACCACTAGCTGCGTACACCAATCCCCACCGCAATTGCCATGTCCTAAAATCGCCTCCCTAACAACCATCCTCGATTGATGACCCATGTCACCGGCTCATGGGTCATTGCTTATCATTGCCCGTATAGGATTGATAATATGGATTGTTTGATGGGGATGTAACTAATTCAACTAACTGGAAGAGAAGGAATTTTATTAAAAGATGTAATAATCACCACACGCCACACATACAAGGTCTTTACTATTTATAGTAAGATACACACATCCACAGTATTACATGCACCTGCACACACTATATCACCACAAACTTTGAATTACAAACACATGTAACACTCTCCCTTAATTCAAAAACTTTTCCATATCAAGCTGGAGCTTTAACTCCCAAATCTTCTCTGAACTTTCTGAACTTATCAACTGGCAAAGGTTTGGTTAAAATATCTGACACTTGTTCCTCACTGCTGCAATATACAAGTATCAGTTTTCCTTCATTCACTTTCTCGCTTAGCCAATGATACTTAGGCTCAATGTGCTTGATTCTTCCATGTGATATGGGGTTTTGAGCCAAGTTTATTGCAGATTTATTGTCAACTAATAGCTGAAATGCTTCCTGCTCCTCACCAAGTATTTCCCCCAATATTGTATTCAACCACACTCCCTGACATGCTAGCTGCATATGTTGCAACCACATATTCAGCTTCACAAGTGGAAAGTTATACTTTGGGTTGCTTCCTAGAGCTCCAGGATATAGATGCTTCATATAACATAAAAGTATACCCTATAGTGCTCTTCCTTTCCACTGAATCTCCCTTCCAGTCTGAGTCAGAAAATCCCACCAAACCTTCCATCCCAGATTCCACTTCCTTTGGATATCAAATCCCATACTCATCTGTACCCTTTAAGTATCTCAAAACTCTCTTAGCAACCGAGTAATGAGATTGCTTAGGAGCCTGCATAAATCTGCTAATGAGTCCAACACTATATGCAATATCAGGTCTAGTATTCCATATAAATCTCAAGGAACCAACCATACTTCTGAAAATAGTGCCATCAACTCCTTTTTCAGATTCATAGTCCCAGTTTCAACTTGGGTTCCATTAGACTGTTCGCATGATTACAATCAGCCATTTTAAACCTCTTTAATACATTTGCAACATACCTCTTTTTATGTATAAAGATTCCATTGTTAAGAAAGCAGAATTCCATCCCCAGAAAACATGCTAGCTGACCCAAGTCTGTCATGTCAAATTCCTTCTTCATTTGAACCTTAAGAGATTCAATCTGGTCATTTGAGTTACTTGTTACTAATAGATCATCAACATACAAACAAATCACCATGATATCACTTTCAGTTGTCTTAACATAGACACCATGTTCACTAACACAGTTCTTGAAACCCAATTTCTGCAAATATGTATTGATCCTCTTATTCCAAGCTCTTGGAACTTGCTTCAAACCATATAAGGCCTTTCTTAGTCTGAACCTGATCTTCTGCACCCCTCACTTCAAATACAGGAGGTTGAGTTACATACACTTCCTCCTCCAATTCTCCATTGAGAAAAGCAGATTGTACATCCAACTGTGCCAAATTCCATCCCTTATAATTTGCCAAGGCAACCATCATTCTTATGGTTTTTTAATCTAGCCACAGGTGCAAACACTTCAGTAAAATCCAGGCCTTCCCTTTGTAAAAATCCTCTCACCACCAATCTGGCTTTATACTTAGAAACTATGCCATCAGGTTTGTATTTTATCTTAAACACCCATTTCACACTAATTGGCCTCTTCCCATGTGGTAATGAAATCAGTTCCCAGGTGGAATCCTTCTCAATGGCCCTAATCTCTTCAAACATTGCATCCTTCCATTCTTTCTGAGTTAAGGCCTGCTTCCAGTCTAATGTTTCACAATCAGCTTGCAAAGCAAAGTGCAGTAGCTCACCTACTTCATCTATCTCTGCATCATCATAGATTTCATATCCAGAAAGTCTAGAAGATTGTTGCCTATTCCTCTAGGGTCTTTGACTCATAGTCTCATTCTCATTTTCATTAGTCACTTGATCATTATGCTCAGAATTAGATAAATTCGGGTTCTACATCAAACAACCTAGTAAATGGTCTAGTTTGTTTTTTGACTGAGTTCCAATCTCAGCCAAGAGCCTCATCAAAAACAACATCCTTGCTATAAGCATAATTCTTGTTGTGTGGATCAAACAACTTGTATGATCCCACAGTATGATATCCAATCAAGATCATAGAAGTTCCTTTGTCATCTAACTTTCTTCTCTTCTGATCTGGAACATGCTTATAACACAAACTACCAAATAACCTGAGATTTTTCACACTGGGTTTAACACCAGTCCAGACTGTTTCAGGCACCTTCCCCTCCAGTTTCTTAGTAAGACACTTGTTCAATTGATACACTTCTGTATTTGCTGCTTCTCCCCAGAGATATTTGGGCAACCCCTTTTCTTTTAACATGCACCTAACCATGTTCAGTATGGTTCTGTTCCTTCTCTTAGCCACGTACTCCATTATGTTGGGGTGTATAAGGTGATGTTACTTCATGTACTACTCCATTGTCCACACAGAATTTGATAAATTCAGATGAGGTATATTCCCCTCCACCATCTGTTCTAAGAGTCTTAATTGATTTACCACTTTGGTTTTCAACAAGCTTCTTGAACTTCTCAAACACTTTCAGTAGATCACCTTTACACTTTAACATATAAATCCACATCATTCTACTGAAGTCATCTATAAATGTAACAAAATATATATTACCTCCCAATGTGGGCTGCTCAAATGGACCACAGACATCTGAGAACACCACATTTAACACTTCAGAAGACCTTACATGCACTTGATGTTTGTAGGAATCTCTATGTTACTTCCCAGCTGCACACTTACCACATACAGTGTCTGGTACAGTTATATGTGGAATTCCTATCACCATATCTTTCATATGCAGTTGCTGAAGACTCTTAAAATTTAGATTCCCCATCCTGGCATGCCATAGCCAGGTATCATCAAGACCTGAAGTGGCTTACAAGCTCTACACCTCAGATGTGCTTACCTTTGCTTTAAAGGTCCTGTTCTTAGATATAGGTACCTTAAGCAATAGGAGTTCACCAGGGTCATAAAGTTCTAGATGATAGTTCTTCAGAACAGTCTTGAATCCCTTCTCAAGTAACTGTCCCAAACTCAGTAAATTGCATTTCATATCTGGAACAAAAAGTACTTCTTCAAGTATGACCTTCTTACCATTCTTACTAGTTAAGATCACATCACCAACACCTTCTACTTGAACTGCACTAAGATCAGCAAATTTCACACTAGACTGATGTTTTTTGCTGAAATTCACTAACCAAGACTTATGACATGTCATATGGTTGCTACATCCTGTATCTAGATACCAGACATCACTCATAACTGATTCTTCACAGGTTGTAGTCATAAGCACAACGGGTTCATCTTCATCTGATTTTTCCTCTTCTACAGCATAAGCCTTTTCCTCCTTATTCTAGTTCTTTGGCCTCTTATCCTTCCCTTCACCAAACCAACACTCATCTGCAAAATGACCCCATTTATTTCAATTGTAACATTGGATCTTCTTCTTGTCAAATTTCTTTTTCTGAGTCATGGGTTTATCAGATTTATCACTGGAAACTTTATCCGGTTTATATGATTTCTCATCACCTAGATTCTTACCCTTCACTTTTCCTTTCCCATTTTGGTCACTTTTCTTGGCACCTCCCTTCTTGAATTTGTAAACCAGAAGGGCCTGTTCTTGCAAATCTTCAGTATCTCTTTCCAGCATTTTCTGTTCGTAGATCTCAATTCTCAAGAGTGCTCTGTAAATTTTCAGTAGTCATCGATCCTACATTATCCTTATATTCTTCAATAGCACACGCACAGTAATCAAATTTCTTTAGCAAGGATCTCATTATTTTTTCATTCACATCTGAGGTTTTCATCTCATAATCGCACTTGTGTATAGAATTCGAAAGAGATACTACTTTAGTGACATAATCAGCAATAGTATCAGATTCTAGCATTTTAAGCAATTCACACTGGCGTTTTAGGGTTTGCAATCATGCTTTCTTTACCTTTTCTCCACCAGAATGAGATTGCTCCAGGATCTGCTAGGCTTCGTGAGCAGTCTTTGCCTTAGAGATTTTCTGGAAGTGTGCATCATCCACTGATTGATGCAACAAGAACAATGCCTTACAATTTTTCTTCTTTAACTCACGATGATCTCTTCATTCTGCCTCGGTTGAATTCTCACGCACGTTCGGAACTCCTTCTTCTATCACATCATGAACTTCTTGGTAACCGAAGATGACTTTCATCTGGA